CAAACGAACGATGAAGAATGTTGACTTCTGCAACTAAGGCGTGGCACCATCCGTCTTTTATCTGCAGAAGCCCCTAACGAGCAACAGCTGCTCATTATCCTGCATCCCGAGAGCATCCTGAAACCACTCACTGATAGCAGCTCCAAAGGCTCCTACCGAGCCACAACAGTTACCTTAGTGCACCTACCTGTGGGCCTCCGCACTGATATTTCTGCCCAGCCTTGAGTCAGGAGGGGGACATAAGCAGCCAGGTTGGCCTTCTCGGTTTGGGGAGCAGGAGGAGAGCTTGGGGGCGCCTGGAGTCCCGTGCTGGCTGAGAAGTGAGAGGCAGAGCCGTCCAGAGCACCAACCCGCAAAGCATGGCCTCCTGCAAAAGAGGGGGGCATTTGATTTCAGGCTGAATCAAAGCACAGGAGGAGCAACACAGAAGGGACAAGTCCAGCCTGGGCAACAAAAGGAGAAAGGGCCCACCCCAAGGCCTGGAGTTGGAAATGCATGCACAATTGTACCCCTGCCTTTCTCAGCCAGTATGGCAGGCGGACATATTTCAGCCTAGCCCTCTTTTTCATAACAAGCCACGCACTCACCCACACACCCTGCCAGGCACAGACAACCCCTTTCCCTCCAAGCTCAGAGGAGCTTGGCAACCGGGTTGGACCACGCCCCACCACCAGTCCAGTCCACAGAATGTTTCTGTTCCCCTCCCCTCCAGACGGAAGCCTCGGGGCAGAAGGAGAGAGGGAAGCGGTGCCTGTGAACCCCGGGGCGCACAATCAGGTTCAAGAAAGGCCAGGCCGCTGCTCTTCGCATCCCCTCTGGGGAGCCACCCTGGCCATCTGGCAGAAGCCTTGCCAGGAAAGCCCAGCCGTCTACCTGTGCCCTGCTTAAGGCAGAGGTGGCAACAGGCTCTGAAGCTGGGTCCATGCCATTCCGTTTCCCAGATGAAAAGGGGCTGGGGAAGGGGTGGCTCAGCAGGCCCCGTGAAGAGAGTTATTGACTAGGCCGGCTGCTCTTCTGGGGACCCACAGGCCAGGGAGACACCATGATGCAGCTTTTGATAACATGTTGTGAGATCCAGCTGATAAACAAATTCCTCCTATTTAGGGCAGGAACTGGCAACCTGGTTCCTTCTGGACATTCTGGACTACAACTCCCATCAGTCAAAACCATTAGCTACTTTGACTGGGTTTTCATGGGAGTTGTAGCCTAAAGTCTTAGTGGCTGCCATCAAACTTTCGCTTTCAGTTCCCAAGCAAGAGGCCAAGTCATTCCATGCCGCTGGCCCTGTGGAGGCCGCCAGCATTGAGGGGCTGGGAAGCTTCTTTTGCTCCTCTTGCTCGGACAAAGCAGGCTCTCCTGCCGGAAGGGACCCTCAGCCACCAGAACCAGAACCAGAAGCCAGGCAGCGCCCACTCTATTGCTGCTGGCAGGATAAAGGGTGTGTGTGTGTGTGTCAGGATTTCACCCCAACATTCCCAGTTTCAGTTATCTCACTGCAGGACATCCTTCAATGGACCAGCAGAGCCTACAAACAACAATCTGATTCTTTGACACCATTAACAACCGCAATTCCAGGTATATTTTCCTGTCCATAAATTCATTTGGGTGTTTCAGAGACTCAGGGACGCTCCTTACCTGACATGGACCTGACTCGGTTGCGGGTTCGAACCACCTGAGGGCCAGCCTGAGATTCGAGTTTTGCCGGGGCCTCCTTTGACTGTCTCACTTGCAAGCTGTGATCTGAACTGGGAATCCAAAAGGATCTTGATGTCAATTCATTAGGAAATAGGAGGGTCTGTTGGCCTGAATCTTAACCTGGCAGCATTTACAGGATCTACAGAAAGGCTTCGACTCAACCCTGGCAAGACCCCCACCCCCCAATTTCGGCCCCCAGGCTCAAGCTGGTGTGCAGCTTGGAGTCCTCCTAGAGCTGGTGGTAGCCATGGCTGGGTGCCTGCTTTGCACAGGTTCACCAGGTACACCAATTTTGCTTCTTCCCGGACTGGGCGGCCTTGGTCACTTGTTTGGATTGCTGCAAGGCATTCTACATGGGGCTGCTCTTGAAGACCACCCAGAAACTATAAATGTCCTAGAATCCAGGGGTGCAGACAGTGATGGGAGGCCCTGCATTTGCCCATGGAAGAAGACCTTTATTGCCAGACGGCTTCTGCCTAAGGACGTCTGCCCGCCCTACCAGATGAGATCGGGTGGGCACATGCCTAGTCCTTCCCAGTTCATGCCTTGGAAAGTCAGTCTAGCAATCAACTAGCAACTGCCAGTCAAACATGAAATGAGGGGGAAGATGGACTTGAGGGTTATGGGGAGAAAATGCTTCCAATGTCCACATCTGATAGATTATTTGTTGGGCAGTGGCATCATTGACATGCACATTTGTTTGTTTGTGATGTAAAGCAATGATGTAAGCAGATAGATAGAATTAAAATTGGCAGATTTGTTTACGGCACCATTTTCTGTTTCAACTGTGAAGAAGCCCATAATGGTGGCAGAAGATCCTGGAGAACACTGCCAAGACTGATGACTTAAAAGTCCCCAGACCCAGATCATTCTTTCGAGCTCCATCCCTGCCTTGAGATTTAAGCTACCTTTACAGTTGCAAAGCAGTCTTTCTCAGTCTTGGCAAGTTTATATATGCTGGCTGGAGAATTCTGGCAGCTGAAGTCCACGCATCATACTGATCTAAATAATGCCAGTGTTTAAAATCTGGACAAAAACTCCACCTTCCCTTGCAGTTACAACATTGTCGTTAATTTTCTGTACCTCTTAGTTTAAAAAGGATCTGAAAAGCGAGCGAGCTGTGGGAAGCTTACCTGGATTCTGCACCATTGTGGAGCTCTCCATGGTCAAGGCCCAGGAGGGACCTGGTTCCTGTCCCAACACTTGTAGTGATTGTAACAAGCTTGTTACCCACTAGCCATGTCTTGGTCCTCCCTCCAGCCAACAGGAACTCACCCACTGGAGACCTAAAAGCCCCCAGAAAACAAGGATAAAGATGCTATTGAAGTCTCTCTGAATAAGGAGATTTCAACATTCACTGAAACTTTTCCAAAGAAAGCTTCTAAATCCTTCTCCCACCTCTGGAAGGAAAATGACCCAAAGAGCCAGGATTCCCAACTGATTTTCCACCCTCCCTGAGCAAACCATTTCTTCAAGCATCATTCTTGATTTGAGGTGCTGATAATCAGACAGAAGTGTTGCCTCCGGGCAGAAACTAGAATTTGCACCAATCCTGGTGCTTAATGCTTCAAGTGCTGGGTCTCACTCCTGGGAAGAGTGAGACACCAGAGGAAAGCAGCTACTCCAACCTTTTGGGCACAGCTGTGAAGTTGGAAAAGACGTATCGGGCCATCATGTCGAGGCAGGTCTCGGTGAGCTCCAAGTGGAGGGTCTTCAGGTTGTCATCTGCCTGAGCCATGGAGTTCTCATCAGCAGAGCCCAGGCTGGAACTGGTGATGGAAGTTTGTATCCGGCTAGAAAAGGGGGGCAGGGAGATTATAATTTGGAAGAACACATCTCCCAAGGGAAGAGGTCCCCCAATTCCATTAAGCATGCAGCAGGCGGAGGTGTGGGCAAATATATCCGATTCGGGGAGGTTTTAACTGACAGGCCTCACACTGGCTTGGGGAGCCTTGAAGCCAAGGGCCAGGAAGCAGATGCAGGGAGAAGAGCAAATGGGTGGCTATTTCATCTGTTCCCAGAAGCAGAGAAGGTTCAGCCGGATGGCATCAGATGGGAACTGGCAACAACTGACTGCGAGTCGTTTTCAGGACTCTCGTTTGTCCTTGATTGAACAGCCAGGGGTTCAGGGGGCTGATTCAGGATTAAACCAGATAATTATGTATAAAAATGAATTTATTTATAAAAAAACTAAAGGAATCAAGCTGAAATACCTCAGAAAAATGCAAACAGAAAGACTCCCATTGATTCAAAGGTGGGAGCCAGAAATCAGTAAAATTTCTTTCTCTCCCCATTCCAGACAATCCAGGAGGCTGCAAATTGCTTTCTCTCCCCCAGTTCCAACCCACAGCAAGAGCCCTTGCAAGGCCCCCAGATGGCTTCTGGTTGAGATGCTCAACTCCACCCAGTCTGATATTTGGGGAAAACTTTATATTTAATATCAGTATTAAGTATTTAATATTAATTAAAATGTTAGCTTAATAGACTTAAGAACACAACTGAGCCCCAAATTTGACTGCTAAGCGAGACAGCTGTTAAGTGGGTTTTGCCCCATTTTACTCTCTTTCTTGCCAGAGTTGTTAAGTGAATCACTGTGGATCTCAACATGGCTGCTAAGTGAATCTGGCTTCCCCATTGACTTTGCTTGTCAGAAGGTCACAAAAGGGTATCCCGTGGCCCTGGGACACCGCGGCCGTCCTGATCCCCTTAGGGTTAAATCGAAACAAATGTGCCAATCTTGGCCACAAGAGGCAGGGCCTCTTCCACTCATTCTGGGGATAGAGCCATAACCTGCCGATGAAAGCCTGAGGGTCAGAGCAGCTTGAAATGAAATGTGCACCCAACACAGGGGTCTCCGCAAGGTCTGCCCCAAATGGAAAAAATGGAGTCTGCCACAGGGCATCAGGGATGCAGAGCTGCATTTGCACAATTTTGACTGCCATCTTATTTTACCATACCCTGCAGAAACCCCCACCCCAACAGTCCCCACCCCCCCAAGCAGAATTATTTCACAAACAAGTTCTGAAGGTGCAGGACTTTGTTCAAGGCACATCAGCTTTCATATCTGAGTCCTGTTGCCTGCGTTTGTGTTGGCTCTTATGGCTGTCCATTGGTTGCTCTTTAACCTACATCTGACCATTGTTGTCTGCAGAAAAATCCCTCCACTCACGCCTTCTCCCCCAGTTCTTAAATCCCCCCCCCCCAGTTAACTGGAAGAAAGTATGTGAGTTTCCAGACAAGGTCATCTCTGTGATGGGCTCCTCTGCAATTACTCTCTTGCTAACTAGGATTAGCAGCTAGGATTCTCCTCTACTCAGGTTCCCAATGTAGCTGTTGAAGTCCGCTCCTGCCAAACACAACCGAGAAGCCAGCACAGATAAAATTTTGATGCCTAAGACAAGACTGGAGGCTCGCAAATCCCCCCTTTCTTTCTCTTCTTCACAACTGGTTAATGATACAATAAAGCAGGCCAAATTATGGTTATCTTCCAAACTAGTGTCAAACATTGACTGACGGGGATCAGGATTAGCTCTGACAAGGCGGGGTAACCTAATTGAATATGATGCTTCATCAGGGCGAAGGTCAGGGTGAGGCTCAGCCTTCAGATGGCAGGGAATAAGTGGGTTTTTCTTGCAGCGAATGTTACATTTGCCTTGGATATGAAAGAGATGCATTCTATAGCAATGGCAATAGCACTTAGACTTATATACCACTTCATAGGGCTTTCAGCCCTCTCTAAGCGGTTTAGAGAGTCAGCGTATTGCCCCCAACAACAATCTGGGTCCTCATTTTACCCATCTCGGAAGGATGGAAGACTGAGTTAACCCTGAGT